GGTAGATGGACAATGGTCATGCAAAACGGTGGAACCAAGAGGAGAGGAGCCCCGTAATGCAAATGGAGGAGGAGCATCTCCTGACGTTCAGGCTTGTTTTGGTGTCTCTATGCAAACACCAAGACAAGAACAGATAATATAATTTGCAGCTTTCCCTAGAAATTTTATTAGAGAATATCTTTCCTTCTTTAGGTCAATTATTTTTCCTGACTCCACATAATTCTTTTGGCCTTTACTTTCTTACCTTTTTCTTTTTTTTCACCAGACAATTTTCTAGGTCTTCTGTTTTTCTATATATTCCAAATTTTTTTAGTCCAATATTCACTTTCCTTATTCTATCTATCATTATGTGCTGACAAAAAAAGAAAAAAAGCTATCGTTATGTTATAAATTTATTAGATGACTCTCCGCGTTATACGCGGTTAAATATTTTTGAAAAATTAAATAAATTAAAAAAATACTATTTCTTGATTAAAAATTGCTAATTAATGATGTTCAATTTGGATTTTAGTTCAATTTTCTTTACATTAAATAATATATTTTTACTTTTTTTGTGTGTTGGTATTAATTCTAATTTCATAAATAACATCAACAATAAATTCGTTTACCATTTTTTTGTTTTTTTTTTCAAATTTCATTTAAAATTCAATTAACAAAAAAAACAATATATTATAAGATTTGGTCTTTGGATCCAATTTATATCATAATAACCAAGTAAAATTATCATATATATATATAATCAAAAGTATGTTTCAAGTAAATATTTTTGAGAAATCAAATAAATTAGAAAAAATACTATTTCGTGGTTAAAAATTGCTAATGATTTTTAATTTGGATTTCGGTTCAATTTTCTTTAATAAAATAATATATATATTTTCTTGTTAGCATTAATTCTAATTTTATTAATAACATTAACAATAAATTCGTTTATCATTTTTTTTCAAACTTCAATTATAAGTCAATTAACAAAAAAACAATTGATTATAAGATTTGATATTTGGATATGATTTTATATCGTAATAATCAAGAAAAATTATCATATATATATATAATCAAAAGTATTTTTCAAGTAAATTGATTGGTGTCATCATATAATGGACGCTAGGCATATTTTCATGTGTTTAGGTTATTAGTGGTCAATTTTTTTATATATTAGTGGAC